TTTTCTACTTATTTCTTCATTCTGGAGCCTACAAACTCCTGCTTTCAGAAATTCGAAGATATGACTTATAAAGTAGTATTTAAATTAACATGCAAATTACCATACAAACGCTCTTCCTGCTTCTTAAATTTGTTGTAGTGTAGCTGAATGTAGAGTGATGGCACAGAGGATGTCAAAGAGATTAGAGAAGTTGGGGGTATGTGATGAATTAATAAATTCAATAAAATGGTAAAAAAATACACTTGCATCAAGTGTAGTCATGTTACCCAAGTGTGATCCATGGCATAGATGAGGGTCCTCTAAATTTTTAGAGGGATTGTGAGGTCAAAATTATTTTACAATACTAAGGCAGTTATCTATTTCACCACACTGATACAAAAGCATTGACCAGGCAAAAGCGCCTGCCTGGCAAGCGCAAGGTCGTGAGTTCGGTTCCCGGTACCGGAGAAAAACCAAAAGCATTGACCAGTAAATCTGCTGGCTTTTTAATACAAATCAAGACCAATGTACACTAGTTAGTAATAATCAGTATATTCTTCTCTGCCACACATTCCCAATCTTTTTTGCTTTTTTGAGACAGGTTCTTGCTCCGTAATTCAAGTTGGCCTTGGATTCATGGAGCCCAGGCTCGCCTCAAACTTCCAGGGATCCTCCTGCTCAGCCTCCCAAACGCAGGGATTACAGGCATGCATCGCCACACCCAGCCACTCACAATCTTTTACAAAGCATTTCACAAAGCCAGCTTTCCTTATGAATCAGTAAAAATATTAGTCTTTAAAATTTTCAACCTTAAGTATATATGACTTTTTAGTATTTTATGTCACAAACTGGGAAACTGGGAAACATTCCAGTTGATGCATACCTAAGTATGGTAGTTATCTCAAGAAAAAAACAAAATGTGGTTGAAACTGTCACTTTTTCTCATGTAACACTTTTACTTTGATGGATTAGTTATTCAGACTTATCTGTTAAGCATTTTCTCAAAATGAATAAAATGAACCCGTCATTTCAAAAAAACCTTCGTGTTCTTTGCCATTAATGACAAAATTCAAGCTTTCAAGTATAACTAGAATTTCTGGAAAATACGAAAGAAATGTTTTTCTTTAAAAAATATAGAATAGCAGTGGATTGTAATCTATCACAATACACAAAGTTCATCTACCACAATTCACAAAGTTTTAATCTATCACAATACACAAAGTTCACACAAAGTTCATCACGTTCTACACTGCAACTAACTTTTAAGAAACTACCACTTGTACCTGTGAAGAGTGGTGTAAAAGAATATCCATGATTATCTGAAACAGCTATTCCCATATTCTCTTTTTTTTTTACCCTCATCTCTATGTGACATCAGATTTTTTTCAGACACTTCAACCAAAATAACATTATTACAACAGTGAATATAAAAGATGACAATCTATCTTCTACTAAAGCAGACTTCAAAAATATTTGCAAAAAGTAAAACTATCACTTTTGTCTAGTTTCTCTTGGAAAATAATTTTTTAACAACAGTATTTTCACAACAGGCTTAGTATAAATCACTTTTAAATGAATTAATTTGTAAATGATTTTGTATTTTCTGATTTTTAATTTCTAATATGGCAAATGCTGATAGACATAACTCAAAGTCTTTTGAGTCCTCAAAAATTTTTAAGTTTCGGGATTAAAATAAAAAAGTATGTCTTTTTACACATCTAATCTCCCATGCATTTTTCCAAAACCAGTGTATGAACTCAGTGGTGCAACTTCCGCATCATCCATCCAGAATAAACTAGAATTCCAAATAAGAGCTTCCACACTGTGTAAAGCAGTAATAGAAACATGGATGCATAGTACATGTAAGGATATATGTTAAGTGTGTATGTTGAATATATGTGTATATACCTATAGTAAGGATAAAAATAGTAATGTAGTAAGGATTAAAAATCCTAAAGGATAAAAATATAAAAATGGATGTTCTTGACAGCTCCATTCATAAAGAAATATAACAGACACATATGAAAATGACAACCTAAGGTGCCTAAGTCAAGGGACATGTACTGACTCAAGTTTTCAGAATATAGGAGTATCAGTTCCCTAAGGCCACTGCTAAAAGCAAGTTTTAAAGTATTCGGATGGAATCAATGAAGTAAAATATTAAAACACAAATATGCATTTATATGCATCCTAAATTCAAGACTGTTTACAATACCAATGGTGGATACATTTTTTCTGTTCCTTCACCTTCCAGAAACAAAATTAGCTATACTAACTGCACTGAATTTCAAGTGCCAAGCACCCCTAGTATTCAATAAATGAGTATGGCATTAGGACATACAACTATCCTATATGTCTTACCTTAATTCCAAATTTCTTGCTGAATGCGAAAGTATTATTTGTATCAACTCAAATAATTTAGTTAGCTAAACTTTTTAGTTGCTATGAGACTATAAGAATTTGTCTGTACTACATTTACATCCTTTTTACCCAGATGTAGTATGAGAATCCCTTACAAATTTATGATTCAAAGGACCAAGTTACAAAGACAGAAAAAAACAGGAGTCCAATGTTAATTTCAGAAAAATCTACATAAAATTCTCTAGGTTCAGTAAAAAAAACCCACAAAGATGAAAATTATGGTAATAAATTTCAAATAGCTCAAAATTAGGTATAATGACATAACTGCCATTGTGGTATGTAGATGAATTGCATTTATTGGACATTTATGTAAGGAACTATCCCTTCAAAGTATTTTTTTCTGGAAAGCTCATTATATAATGTATCTATTTGCTATGTGAGGTACTTTACAAAATGGTATGTGTCACTTTGGAGACAGAGCAAATTTATTCTTTGTACTTTTATTTTTGGCACTAGGTCACTATAAGTGCTCATAATTTTGAAAAATAATCCTTTTATTATTACTTGAAGAGTTTTCACATCTAGTCTATCAATTATTGAGAAATACTAAATTAAATCTTAGAATTTTAAAAGAGAAAACTAGTTATTTCATATGGCTTAGGGCAACAGGTATGAAGAAGCCAAATTAAGATAGCTCAAAAAGGGACTGGGGATTTAGCTCAGCGGCAAAAGCGCCTGCCTGGCAAGCGCAAGGTCGTGAGTTCGGTTCCCGGTACCGGAGAAAAACCAAAAAAAAAAGATAGCTCAAAAATGAGAATAATAAAACTGTAGTGGTCATTTTAATAACTAGTAACAATGAATAAGTGAGGAAATAGAAAATCTTAACTTTACAGTTTTAATAGAAACAATGAAAAGCAATGGTTAACACAGCATTTTAAAAAACTGTATTTAATGCACAAAACTATCCTCAAGTGGGGTTTTCACTAGAAAATAAGACTTTTTTTTGTCTTTTTGAGATAGGGTCTCCCTGTACAGTTCAGGCTGGCCTTGAGCTCACTTTGTCTTGAACTCACAAGGATCCTCCTGCTTCAGCCTCCCGCACGCTGGGATTACAAGCATGTAACACCACGCCCTTCTAAGACCTGTGTATATGCTGAAATTTTAAGTAACTTAAACTAACAGATTTTTCACAACCTATAAAGCATACTTCTATAAAATCCAAAACAAAAATTTAAAGATGCAAATTAAAATGTTCCACTATAACTTCATTATCTTATTTTAAAATGTGAACCATTAAGTGCCATGTGACCACTTGTAATTACTAGTCTGTTAATGAAAGTGTATACTACTGTTTCTAAGTAGAACATCTTAAAGGAAACTCAGGAAACTCACTAATTGTGTCAAAAAAAATTTTTTAAAGGAGAAAAAGAACAGAAATTAAACCACACAATTCAACTCACACAATAGCTTCTGGAGAGGGGAAGTGTGTGTTGGCAGGTGTCTCCACGGAGGTAGATGATAAAATGGACTCAGTTTTCACTCTGCAGAACCACCATGGGACTTGCTGCAATGTCAGCTCAGGCACACACTGAGGGACTCCAGAAAATGCTCATTGATCATGCAGCACTTTATAATGCGCATAGGCTTTTTTCTCCTGCTAACCCAGCCTGGTTTCCCTTTGCAGCCTCTCCCCACAATGAAATCTCTTCCAGAAGACAGTGAAATAGTTAATAAAAATTATTTTACGGTCTTAAGTATTAAGAATACCACTAACCACCATGAAGATTCTTATGTGAATTCATTTTTTCTTAATGAAGGAAAACACACACACACACATACACACACACACATACACAAACCTATAACCCTGTAGACCCCCCCAATAAAAAATAGGATCTATATATCTATGCCTATAAATATAAATTTTTTGGTAGTATACTACAACCAAGATCAAAATCAATTAGTTTCACTTTGACATGTATTTCCTTGAACTGATTTATACTCAGTTTCTCTTAAAACTAATACAACCAGAAAAAATAATTTAAAATTCACATGACTTAAATTACAGGCAAATTTTATTGGCAGCACTTCAGCACTAGTATTTTAAATTGTAGGGCTTTTTAAATTTCATGCTTTATTTTTATAATGATCAAAGGCACATGAAAAATTCAGAACCAGAGTGTACCATCTAAATTAACCAACTAGGCTTACATACTTAGTTTTAAACTAAAATGACTAGCTGTATTTAATAGTTAATTGCAAGCACAGCATTAGGCTTAGATATGTAAATGAATTCTAAGACATAAGATACTAAACCTACTCAAAGCTGCTTTGCAGACCCCACCTTCTAATGAGTTAATCTAAAGGTCACCACCAGTACAAGGCTTTCTATTAAGTCCAAACCCCCTCTCCCTTTTTTCCCTATCAAAATCCACCCACAATTTATGAAACATGAATTAAACAAAATAAATCTAGACTTCTTTAGCAATCATGTAAATCTGACATATTCTCACACAGAATAAGGTCTGACCGTGTCCTGCTTTTATGCTCTGCCTCTCGCTGCTCTCTCCTCTAATCTATTCATCTGTAAAATAATTCCAGCAGATAAGATTTCTTTGTTCAGATTTCAACTTTCATTTCATTAACAAATCTAGCCCTACCTCTAGAATGTCTTCTAGAACATATGCTTCCATTTCAGCCGCTGTCTCCACCATGTTTTATCAAACTGCCATGTTTCTTACTGCACTGTGATTAGATCATTGCCAGCAGGAACACTCCTCTGTGTCAGCAAGGGAACAGGAAATGGAATGTTCTATTACATGCCTAAAGCAGCTTAGCTGTTGACTAGCCAGGCATCTACCAAAAGGGCAGGGGGGTGACTCAGTGTGTGTTTTTTAAAGATACAGAAGCTCTATTCCAAAGCAAACTTTTATCAGTAATTTCAATAGGAAAAAACTCTCTTACTTTACTATTTCAAATTTTAAAATCCTACATTTTCAAAAATGAAATAATTAGACATATATATATCAAAAGCTATTTAATATGTCTGGCTTTCTGGATGAACAAAAGAGGCTGAAGTGGGTTATGCAGCAAACTATTCTTAGTAAAGCACTGTAGTGAGGTTAATGGCTGTAGTAAAGATGCAAAGGAGGCAAGATTCACCAAGGTATTGTTATCTGCAATATCAAGCAAATGGGCTGCTTAACAGACATAGTGCAGTTATTGACTTGAAAATATTAGAAATAATCATCTTTAATGGCAAACCCGTTTTCTATAAACTAATCTGTAACTACCTATGAAAACAATATTAATATTCAACTGATTTGCGATTTCTGAAACAAGGCATTATATACTATGATGCCGTCATTTTTTGGCTGTGCCTTTAATTTCTTTTACTAACCAAAAAAATGGTCTTTTTCCTGACAATGAAAACACAACTACAAGAAAGTTGGCACATCTATGATGTACCAGAAAGTGTTCCAGGTACAATCAACATGATAGACAGTACTTTTTATTAACAGGTTATATGAAATGAAAGGAGATAAAGTCCTACTACATAATTTCAGGTATTTAGGTGGCATTATTATTGTACTAGAGAATAATATGCCATTTAAAATGCTTTGTGCATATTTACTCACTTAATTCTCACAATAATCCTAAAAAGTGGTATTATTATTCCTATTTTACATAGATGAAAACTAGGGCACAGAGAGGCTAATAAACTTGCCCAATTATTCTCAGGTAAACTAATCTAGTTGAGGAGCTAAGATTTGATTCTAGGCAGCTAGCTCCATGTTCTACCCTCAGAATCAAGCAGAACACTTTCTCCAAGTGATAACACTCTCTTTTTGTAAATAAGGACACCAAGCTTCAGACCACACAGTTATATAGCAGAATCAAATCTAAATTCCAACTCAAAAATGTGTGATTCAAAAAGCTACATAGAATGAATGGCAAAAAAATGATACTACAATGTTTTTCTTCAGACCACACCTAATGTGTTCACTTATGTATGAAAACATGCTCAGCATTTGGTGACTTCTCAAAGAATACCCATCCTTAAGATCTGTTTTATAAGGAGCAACTATTATAGACTGCTAAGTTAGGTAAAAATATTACAAGCAGTCAGACAGGGCTAGGCCCCCGAGGACGTCAGTGCAGAGGATGAGAACACATCACAACTGTGGCTGGAGGCGCATTCGTTGAAGGCCAGGCCTCAAGATAAAGGTGGAATGACTACACCTACATACCACCTACATACCTCCGTGAAGGATAAACAATATACTATAATCAGTATTCTGAACAGGCATCAATAACCCCAGTGAGTGACCAGGACCTCCTGACCCATCTCTTCCAAAAAAGGTCCTTGTTCTTTACATGTACACTTCTACGTGACTTGCTTCGCCACTGGATCAACATTACTTAAGAGGCTATATTTGTAATCTTATTGGTCGATCACAGTTTTATCCCTGTTGTACCCACCTTGTGATTTTGCTCTGTAAAAATTTCCTTTGAGAAGTGGGCTCAGCAACCTACTTTCTGGGTCCCCTTCTGTCTCTCTCAATAAAATTTCTTACTCTTAACCTCCACTGTTCCTCAGAATTCACTCTTCCATTTTGGGGAACACAAGTTTGGCACACATCTAGCAGGCTGGGAGTTATAGTATTTCCCTCTATCTTTTGAAGGTCCTATATCAGAACCAGAAAATTGGCTTTCATTATTTCCTACCTTCTAGGTCAGCTACATACATTCTTCATCCTAGACTTAAATCATCAACAACTTTCTCTTCCTCAAAACTTCCTCCAGTTCAAGTAAGCAAAGACAGGGTTGAGTTAAAGGAACCCATATACTGCAGCATTCATTTTTCTCTTAAGTTAAGAATAAGCTTCCCAAATCTTATTTGATTAAAAAAATCAGGCCCCTCCTAAAACTTAAGTGAACTACACCACTTTCTCCTTCCGTTTTATTCTATGATTGATTATAGGCTATGGGATACTTCTACATTTTTTGACATTTATTGCTAAGTTTTTGTTTTTATGGCGGTGCCGGGTATGGAACCCAAAGTCCCGGAATTCACTCTTCCACTCAGTTACAAGCCCAGCCACAGTTTTTACTAACAAGTATGGGATTATGGCTTTCCTACAGTAACATGAATGTTATACACTATTTACTATTTGTCTCTTAAAGACTAGAAGTTTGATGAAAGCAGGAATATTTCTTGCCAATGCAGACCTAGGGTCAGCAGTGGCTGCATGAGCAGGGTACGAAGTATTTATTCACTAAATAAATGCATGAATAAAAGAACCACTGACATCCAGTAACACATCCTAACTCCTTTTACAACACTTTTAACGCAAGTAATGACTTTTGGGGAGCAGGGTGCTGGCATCAATCAAACCCAGGGCCTTGCATATGCTTTACCACAGAGTTATACCCCTTTCCCCACTAGTACGTAACAATTTTTGATGCCAGAAGTATCTGTTCTTTGACTGTAATTTTAGTCACTGAAATAAGACGCTGGAGGAATTCAATATTCAATAACAGAGTATAAATTTCAAAATTTCTATAATTTTTGTTTACACAGTATAGCAAAATAATTATTTTTCTCATTAATTTTGCTTTCTGGATGTTTTGTTAATCTGATGAACCATGTCACAGCAAAATAGGCAAAAGTATATGAAAACAAGGTGATTCATACAGATATGTCTCAGACCTAGTATTCTAAAGGTGACCACCTTTGCCTCATCTTATAGGCAAACAAATTGTCTACAAGGATTTCACTAGCACAAAACTTTCATGTTTTTTTGCCAGTGACAAAGATATTAAAGTGCAAGTAACAGTTAACATGCTAACCTATGCAAACAAATGTAAACCAACACACCAAAAAATTTAAAATCATGCATAAAAAAATTGACTAAAACAAGATTAAAATGTACTGAGTGAAGCCTCACATTAAGAAGTGGGAAAAGGACAGAAATAGCTTAATACCTAGAAGCAGCACTGCTTTCCTTTAGCAAGGAAAAAGAAACTGAAAGGAAAAACATGCAGAAATGTGCTGAAAAACAAGGAACCCTTTTTTGCATGACTTAAGACTTTGCCATTTGTCTCCCTAATGAAACTTTTTTTCAATCAACAATTCTGTGTAAAGTTTTCTTCTCTTTACATTTTTTCTATTTAATGAATGGCTAGGCTTTTAAATCCACATTTGCAAACACACACACACACACACACACACACACACACACACACAAAAACAGATAATTGGTAGTAGGACAAATATAATGATTTCACACACCCACACAAAAACAGTTCAGTAGAAAAAAAAAACCTGAAACCATTTCACTTCTCAAAATGTATGAAATTTTCTTTTTCTAGGGCGTAAGCCAAGGTATAGTTTAAAAGAACTTGAAACTATGTGCAGTAGCCTAGACCAAGAATAAATAAAGACAGATACTAAATACACTTTAAAGACTTCAAATTAAAAGACTAATACAATCTGGTAAAATTTTAGAAAGTTCACACATTATTAAAACAACAATATGCACATCCCCATGATTTTGCCTTGTATCTCTCTGAAACCAGTCTTGCAATAAAATGAGGTGTATATCTAATGTAGCCTAGTAACATTCTTTTCATTACCAATACATTTTCCTTTTCATTAACGATTTTTACCTGTAAAGAATACACGCACGGGGATGGGGATTTAGCTCAGCGGTCGTGAGTTCGGTTCCCGGTACCAGAAAAAAACCAAAAACCAAACCAAAACAAAACAAACAAACAAACAAAAAGAATACATGCACATACAAAACATCAAGAATACATTCATATACAGGGAAAGTAAGCCTCTCACCAACCCCTAAGAGGCACGACCACCAGTGTTAACATATTTCAGTCTTATCTTGGTATAAGTTTGTTTTATACAAGTGGTAAAGTATTATACAGTTGGCCCTCTATTTTGATAGGTTCTGTGTCCTATCCATCATAGACCAAAAATATTTAAGGAAAAAAAATCCACCTGTACTGAACATTTATAAACATTTCCCTTGCTATCCCTTCAACAATACAGTACAGATACTTACATTGTATTAAGTAGTACAGAATGATTTAAAGTTTATGTGAAGATACAAATATGTTATATACAAATGATTGCTATTTTATGTAAGGGACTTAAGCATTCATGGATTTTGGTATCCAAAGGTGGTCTTGGACTCAATTCTCCAAAGATGCAGGAGATTATTGAAGGATAACAGTATTTTTTTGCAGCCCCATATTTTTTAAATGGAGGACTCCATGATTAACTGTTTCAGAGCAGTATATACAGATCTTTTTTATTTTTGACAGCTCCTCAAATTTTCACTAAAGGACCAAATTATGATGTATTTATTCAGTCCATTGCTGGTATTTATAATGTTTCTAACATTTCATAATGCTACAATGAATCTTGGACATGTGCTCTGTATATGCCTGAATATATAGTCATACAATAAATTTCTTGAAGTGTACATGTACTAAAAAATTTAATACAGATTACCAAATTATCCTCCAACTACTTTGTACACTAATTTATACAAACAGTGAATGAATATGCCTGCTTCCCTACCAAGTACCACTGACCCAAGTCTACAGTATTTTAAAAATCCAGACATGAAATCTGCATTAGCCATAAAATATATATCTAGACTTTACTTAGTTCCACCATGTCTTCACTGTTCAAGGAATGTCAAATCAAACATTACACCTCCTCCCATCTAA